GAGGAAGGAGGAGGAAGAGGAGGGGGAGCAGGAGGAGGAGGAGGAGGAGGAGGGGTAGGAGGAACAGGACGAATCATGCGAAGAATATACACGTAGAAAAAAGCCAGCAGGGGAATCAGAGGCCGACACAGAACAGAAACAGACAGAGGTATGATCTTTGGGGGTGCGACCATATATATATATATATACACACACATATATATGTGTGTGTACATACATACACACACATACACACACACACACACATACACACATGCAGCCTCAGGCGGACCGCGGGAAAGCGCTCGCTGCACGACTCTACCTCTGCAAGCGACGTGAATGCCAAGCACGTTCAACCACCATCCTGCCCCTCCTCCTGCCCCAAGCCCACCGCCGCACCTTCTCGCTGCACGTATCGAGCAGCTCGTGCCGCAGGCACTCCTTCGCCAGAGCCACGTGCGCCGCAAGTGGAAGCGCGTCCTCGATGGCGTGCCGGCGTGCCTCGGCGCTGAAGCCCAGACTCTGCAGCTTCTCCTCGTCGGGCGCAGACGGCGGGGTGGGCTCGGGCGCGTCGCCATCGAACTCGTCGGAGGCGCGCCGCTCGGCCTCCTCCTCGTAGGCGAGCCGCGCCTTTGTGTGGTCCTCCAGCGCCTTCGCGGCGGCCTCCAAGGACTCCATGTGCGGCTTCACGGCGGCGACGATCGCACCGATGATGTCGGCCTGCCTCTCCCAGATCTGTGAGAAGCCGAGTCTGGTTACGCCCTCCGCCTCCTCGGCCTCCAGGACCGCCTCCTTGGGGCTGCCATCCTGCACGCCGAAGCGCTCCGGGAGACCGTGCTGGATGCCGAGGGCCTCCAGCAGGCACGGCACGGCCCGCGAGGTGGACCCGCCGAGGTCCTCGGCCAGTGCCGCAGCCTGACCGGCCTCGGCGACCTTGCCGAGCCAGAGATCGTACTTGATCTTCAGCATCTTGAAGCGCCGCTTGCCCGTCTCAAAGACCTCGAGTGCTTCTTTCGGCAGCGGGCTGGGCTTCTCCTCTACTGGCGGGGCCTCCTGCGCCTTCTTGCCCGCCTCCTTCTTTGCTGCGGCGGCCTTCTTCGCGTCTTTGGGGTCCGGCGGCTTGACCTCCGGTTCTGCCTCCGGCGGGGGAGGCGGCTCGAGCTTGTTCTCCTCTGCCTTCATGGCTGATTGCAGCTGCTCGATGGCCTGATCGCACAGTGCCGCCGCTTCGTCGAGCTTCTGCGCGGACTCGAGACAGTAGATCAGCTCCTCGAGGAAGCGGATGCGGAAGGGCTGGACATGCGCAGACGTGAACGGGGCGCAGGTGTTCATGCACTCCGCGAGCCAAAGCAAAGGTTGGACACAAAGGCCACCGAACCCCTGGAGCCTGAGCCAGCGGGCGAGACGGAGGGCCAGCAAGCAGGCATTGTAGACAGCCCAGTACAGGTCCTCCCTTACGCGGCTGGGGAAGCTGTTCAGATACTTCATGGCCTCCAGGAGGTCCAGCAAGACGTCCCTCAAGCTGTCAACTGTGTCCCTGCGCGTGGCCATTGTGTCCCGCTGGATTGTCCGCTGGTACAGAGCCATGCACCTGCCGAGGTAAAAGCGAACAGCCACTCCGGCTCTGCGCGTGTCGTCCACCTCAGAGGGTGCCTCGCCCGACCTCAGCATGAGCATGCGGTCCGCGTAGCGGCAATACAGCTCGCAGTACGCAAAGTCCGGCTGGTCGTGCCTAATGAGGCCCTCCCCGCAACGGCAGGCGTTCTCAATGAAGTAGGCCGCATCGGCTTTCTGAATCCAAGCCTTCGTGAAAGACTGATTCAACGACTCGGACCACTGGACTACCTCCTTCGGCTGCAGCCTCCTCGGGACCTCCACGGCCTGCACCTCGAGCCCCTGACTCCGAAGCTGCTTGGCGAGCTTGTCGGGGTCGTCACCGATGCCCAGGCAGAGGTCCGCGGTGAGCTCGACGTCCTGCTGCGTGCCGTCCTTCATCCTGACCGGCACCCTGCGCGCCCTGGCGGGCCCGCCCTTGGGGCCCGCATCGCCAGAGGCCCTGCCCTGCGCCTGGTGCAGGTGCACCGCCGGGAGACACCCGCGGGCACAGCTGCAAGAGTCCTGCCCTGGACCACCTAGCACACCACCCCAACCCGACCCGGAGACCCCAGTGTCGGGCTGGGGGGGGTGCGGGTTCCACGCGTGCCTTTTCGATGCTCCCCGACGCCCCCCCCCCCCCCACTGCTGGGAGTGGAGGGCAAAATGGGGCCTTCGTGTTGGGTTGGGGTGGTCTGATGGGTGGTGACGGACCCCCAGCGGGACGGTGGACACGGACACCTGCCCGCCGTCAGGGGGAAGGGCAGATCTCAGCACCCACCGCTCATCGAAGCGCCGCCGAGGTCACAGGACACGACTCTGGGGCGGTGGACGCGGACACACCCCGTCGGTGGACCTGGGCCGCCGCCGCCGCGGCCAGGGTCTGGTCGATCTTCGCCGCCAGCTCCTCCAGCGCGAGGGCCGCCATTTCCGGCCCCCTGCGCCCCAGGGCCGAGGCCAGACATCCGACGATGTGATTCTGCCAGACCGCGGCCCCGACAAGCGCTGGACCCCTTCCCTCGGGGGCCGCTTCTCACCCCGGCTCCGTTCTGACTGCCCCGGGGCCCGAAACCTAGTTCCCGGCGGCCAAAACCCAGGGGAAGAGGCCAGGGTCCAAAAAGCCACTCCTGGGCCACCCGACTCCGCGCTTCGCGCCCGGCGATGCACGTCGCGCGGTCCTCTTCGCGCCCCCGCGCCCTCGCGCCGCCCCCCCATTGGGGGAGGGCCACCACGCTGCCCCGGACCGCGGCGCGCGAAGGGCCCCAGCGGGTGGCCCCACTCTCGGGCACGCTCCAACAGGGGCTGCGGAGCCGCGTGTCTGCCGCGCGGCGCCAGGGCCACGGAGCGGGGAAGAAAAAGAACCAAAAAAATTACTCCGACGGAAGGACCCCACATGAGAATCCTCTGGGCGAGTCTGGAAACAGCGCTCACCGTCGTCCTCGTGGTTGGTGAGGCGTCCTGACTGTCTCTTCTGCGTATATTTCTTCTCGCCCTGGCGCGGGCCCTCCCCCCGCTCCCTACGTTGCCCCCGACCTCGCCCTCCTGTTTTTTTCGCGCCCCGCCACCGCCTCGCCTTTCCATTGCACGAGCGCGCATGTCGGTTTTCCTCGGCGCCGTCGCCGCCTCGGCCAGCACAGGCGCGTTCTCTAATGGCCACGTCGCGCAGCCGCTGGGACAACCCCGCGGGCCAGGCTGTCGGGACAACCCCGCGAGCCGCTCGCGCGCAAGACCAAGCCGTTGGGACAACCCCGCGGCTTTCGAGCGGGGCGCAGCCGCGCTCAGGCGGGCAGCACGAAGCCCAGCTCTGCCGCGAGCTGCTTCGCCTCCGCCCTGGACAAAACCGCTCTCTTGTCGAACTCCAGGAGCGCCTTCCGCAAGGACGCTGGCGGCCCTCGCTCCAGGAACTCCCGCGGCGGCGGCCGCAGGATCAGCATGTTCCGCATGCACGTGGCGCGGGAGAGCATGACGTAGAGGTGCAGCCACCCACCACTGCTCGTCAGACATGCCCGTGCGGCCAGCGTCCTCGTCTCTCGCGCAGTCGACGGTGACTCCCATGCGCAGCGTCTGGCCCTGCGACAGCGCGGAGGTCAGGTAGGACGCGTGGGTCAGGGTGAACCCCGAGCGGCGCACGTTGTGCGGCCCCGAGCTCTGCCATGTGAACTCCTTTTCGCTGGGCCTGAACATCAGCAAACTCCGCACCCGCGCCTCGGCCTGGCCGTCGTCGTCGGCGTCTTCGGCGCCCTGTCGCAGCACCTCGGCGACCTCCTGGTAGATCGGAGACCCCTTGAAGCCGTGCACCTGCAGCCAGATTCCCTGCGTTAGGAAGCGGGGGCGAAAGAGCTGGCCTGCCGAGCACTCCTCGTACCGCTGCTCGTCCTCGTGGTGGATTCGAACATGAAGTGCGGGCCCCATAGGGAGGGGGCTCCCGCCTGAGACTTCCTCGCAATTCACTCATATTCAGGTCTCAAGAGCCCAAAAGTGATGACAGTTGCACGTTGCGGATGACCCGCTCGGATTCGAACATGAAGTGCGGGCCCCATAGGGAGGGGGCTCCCGCCTGAGACTTCCTCGCAATTCACTCTTATTCAGGCCTCAAGAGCCCAAACATGACGACAGTTACACGTTTCGGATGACCCACTCGGATTCGAACATGAAGTGCGGGCCCCATAGGGAGGAGGCTCCCGCCTGAGACTTCCTCGCAATTAACTCACAGACGAGGCTCCCGCTCGAGACGTCCTACATATTCAGGTCTCACGAGCCCAAAAGTGAACGAGGCTCCCGCCTAATACTTCCTCCATATTCAGGCCTCAAGAGCCCAAAAGTGACAACGGCTACACGTTTCGGATGACCCGCTCGGATTACCAACATGATCTGCGGGCCCCATAGGGAGGGGGCTCCCGCCTGAGACTTCCTCGCAATTCACTCATACTTGAAGTGCGGGCCCCATAGGGAGGGGGCTCCCGCCTGAGACTTCCTCGAAATTCACTCACAAACGAGGCTCCCGCTCGAGACTTCCTCCATATTCAGGTCTCAAGAACCCAAAAGTGACGACAGTTGCACGTTGCGGATGACCCGCCCGGATTCGAACACGAAGTGCGGGCCCCATAGGGAAGGGGCTCCCGCCTGAGACTTCCTCACAATTCACTCACAGACGAGGGCCCCGCTCGAGACTTCCTCCCTATTCATGTCTCAAGAGCCCAAAAGTGACGACAGTTGCACGTTGCGGATGACCCGCTCGGATTCGAACATGAAGTGCGGGCCCCATAGGGAGGGGGCTCCCGCCTGAGACTTCCTCACAATTCACTCACAGACGAGGTCCCGCCTGATACTTCCTCCATATTCAGGCCTCAAGAGCCCAAAAGTGACGACAATTACACGTTGCGGATGACCCGCTCGGATTCGAACATGAAGTGCGGGCCCCATAGGGAGGGGGCTCCCGCCTGAGACTTCCTCGCAATTCACTCACAGACGAGGCTCCCGCTCGAGACTTCCTCCATATTCAGGTCTCAAGAACCCAAAAGTGACGACAGTTGCACGTTGCGGATGACCCGCTCGGATTCGAACATGAAGTGCGGGCCCCATAGGGAAGGGGCTCCCGCCTGAGACTTCCTCACAATTCACTCACAGACGAGGGCCCCGCTCGAGACTTCCTCCATATTCAGGTCTCAAGAGCCCAAAAGTGACGACAGTTGCACGTTGCGGATGACCCGCTCGGATTCGAACATGAAGTGCGGGCCCCATAGGGAGGGGGCTCCCGCCTGAGACTTCCTCACAATTCACTCACAGACGAGGCTCCCGCCTGATACTTCCTCAGGCATCAAGAGCCCAAAAGTGACGACAGTTACACGTTGCGGATGACCCGCTCGGATTCGAACATGAAGTGCGGGCCCCATAGGGAGGGGGCTCCCGCCTGAGACTTCCTCGCAATTCACTCACAGACGAGGCTCCCGCTCGAGACTTCCTCCATATTCAAGTCTCACAAGCCCAAAATGACGACAGTTGCACGTTGCGGATGACCCGCTCGGATTCGAACATGAAGTGCGGGCCCCATAGGGAGGGGGCTCCCGCCTGAGACTTCCTCACAATTCACTCACAACGAGGCTCCCGCCTGATACTTCCTCCATATTCAGGCCTCAAATCAGCGAGTAGTGATGATGATGATGATGATGATGATGATGATGATGATGATGATGATGATGATGATGATGATGATGATGATGATGATGATGATGATGATGATGATGATGATCGTTCGATGCCGATGATGGTGAGTGATCGTGCGATGGTGATGGTGATGCTGATGGTGATGATGATGATGAGTGGGGAGTGATGGTGATAGTGATGATGATGCGGAGGAGGAAGCAAAGAGGAGCAGAGGAGAGGGAGGAGGAGGAGGAGATCCTGCGCGGAGGGTGTGATGTTGATGATGAGAGAGTGTGAGTGAGTGTGAGTGTGAGTGAGTGGTGGTGATGATGATGAGTAAGTGAGTGAGTGTTCGAAGGCAGGAGAGGAGAGGGGGTGGGGTGAGTGTTCCTGCGCGGGGTGTGCAGAGAAAACAAGAAACCCACTTTGAATGTGGGGAAAAACAACAACAACAACAACAACAGCAACAACAACAACAACAAAAATAAAAACAACAACAACAACAACAACAACAACAACAACAACAACAACAACAACAACAACCACAACAACCACAACAACCACAACAACATCAACAACAACAACAACAACAACAACAATAACAACAACAAATCACAAAAAAGCAACAACAACAAAAACGAAACAGGACGCCGACGCCGCCCTGCTTTGGCGACGCACCGCACGGAAGCGGAACCCGTCGCCAGTTGGCGTCGGGTCCATGGATCGGGGAAAAGTCGAGCAGGGCATCGACTGCGGAATCTACTTGCCCAGACTTGATTTGTCGTCGAATCCACGGGCAGCTCGTAGAACTGTCGCAGATCTACGAGCGGTTGACGCACTCTTGCTGAAGAGGCGACGTGAAAACCAATCTTCGGGGTAATTAGGCCGATTCTGTAGCCGATCCCCCCGTCGGAGAAAAGAGACCCCCGAGACATGCAGCCGATGCCGCCGGATCGGGCGACGGGGCGCGGCGGCAACTGCCTGGGGACGGGGCCCATCTCGTGGGCGAGAAACACACAGACACACACCTCCGTAGCCGCGGCCTCGTGGGCCGGCCCCCGGACCGCGACCCCGCGGGCCCGGGGCGTCTCTGCTCGCGGAGGCCCCGCGTGGAAGACGCGCCCGTGCGCCCGCGCCCCCGCGGAGACGCGCCCCGGAGGCCGGACCGCGAGGGCGCCGATGCGGACGTGCTCGCCGCGCGTGACAGTGCACGCGCCTCAGCCTGGCGGTGCGCACAGTGGGGCAGGGTGAGGGGGGAAGGCTCCTCAGAAGGGGGCTGCTGCTTCAAAGGCGCCAGCCCTGCATCTGCAGCTGAGGCCCGCGCCCTCTGAGGAGCAGGGGGTGCCTCTGAGGAGCCCTCCCCCTTCCCCCTGCCCCCCCTCTGCGCGTGGCCGAACTCTGGCCGAGGAGCCCCGAAAACGCACCGCGCCCGGGCAAAAACAAAAACCTCGGCGCCACCCGCGCGGAGCCCCCCCGGGGGCCGGCGCCGGAGCCCGTATAGCCCCTGGGCGCGGGGCGCCGAGCGAGGGGCGCCACGTCGGGGGCCTGGACGCGCGGCGCCCCGATGTAGGGGGCCACGTGCGAACCCTACGCCTACCCCCCACGATTTCTGGGGGGGAGGGTGGGGCTCACTGCGTGCGGGAGCTCCCGAGCGAAGTGAAGCCCACCCTCCCCCTCAGAAATCGCGGGGGCAGGGGCAGGGTTCGCACGTGGCCCCCTACGAGGTGCTCCTCGCGCGGCCCCCGGGGCTCCCGACTCTGCCCCATGAGATCCTGGCGTTGCGGT